GATCCTCCCCTCAGTACGAATTCCAGCGTCCGGTGGCTAATAGGTGAAATTTAGGTAAAGATACTAACCTTCCTCTCTCTGCTTTTCAATCCCGTTCACCTCTTCTTCCAGGTACCAGATCTTCACCTTGGGTATTAGCTTTCTTTACATACTTATTCCACATTCTGATGGCCTCCAGACTTCGCGGTTCTTTCTAGATCGTAGAGTCAGCCCGTTGATACGTCTGGCTGAGTTAGTGCTCACTCTAAACACTTTCGAGTTTAATGGTCACTTTTTCAACCAAGTCAGCGGCGTCGCAGTGGGGACCAAGATGGGACCTAGTTATGAATTCCTCTTCAAGGGCTACCTCGAGCATCAGATACTTCATGCATATACCGGTAGGCTCCCCAAGCTCTACAGGAGGTATACTGATGATTGAATCGGTGTCACCGTTAAGTCCCTACCTGAACTGCAGGACTTCATTCATTTTTTCTTCCAACTTCCATAGCAGCATCCGATGCAATTCCAGCATTTCATTTTCGTCAGTGCATTTTTTGGATCTCACTGTTATTGTTGACTCTAAAGGCCTCAGCTTCTCGGTGTACTATAAGACTACTGATTCCCACGCCTATCTTCTCTACATGTCCTCCCATCCCTCTTTCTGCAAAGGCTCCATTCTTTTCTCCCACCTTCCACGCCTTCGCAGACTATGCCAGGAGAACGACAACTTTCGTTCTTGAAGTTTCGTCTTTCTGGTCAGTTTACTGCAAGAAAAGTGCAAGAAGGGCTCTTCTGTTATCAGCATCAGTTCTCTGCCATGTCATGTCTGTGCCCTGAAAATCAGGGATTCCTCTTTGTCACATGGCGCCCTGCATGCTCCGTTGAAGGCGCCAGAATGTTACAAGAGATCTATCAGAGCAGACACGCTGGCAAAATTCGTTCCGTTTCACAGTTTTGGCCTCCTTCGCACATGACTTGAAAACCATTGTCTGTTTGTTTACTTCTTTTAGACTGGTCAGGCAGTCAGAAAGTGGCGGATCAGTTTTCCTGACCTTTTGCAACGCCTTGACTGCCTTTTGTTTTGTTTTCTAGCCATGTCGTGTTGATTACTTGATCTTTCCATGGTGGTTCTACCCATCTCTCCCGCCGTCTGCGATGAATTCTTGTTTTACTCCGTCTAATTTTGCTAATGGCATCTGGCCCTGTATATAAAAGCGGACACTCTGATTTCATGGCCTCTGTTGTTGCTCTTCTCCACCAGGACGACACAAGGAAAATGATCGCTGTCATGGTACCCCAGTATGCTACACCTGTATCCTGATGCAATGGAGGGAGACACTAGGGTCAGGTCAATTACGCTGTCAGAATCCCCTGGTCAGGTTGCCATTATTGCAACCTTTCCCTCGTTCAAGCACATTAGACTGGCAGAAACCAGAACATCCTCCATATCTTCTCCCTGTTTATTAGCGATGTTTTACCCCCACTGGCTGCCTCTGGTGTTGAAATTCCCGCTGTAAATGACGTTTTCCCCCCTTTATTTGGAGCAAACATAAGTATTAAATATTTATGTTCGTCTAATACTTGACACTATTTAGTAATGCGAAGATTGTATGTGTATAACATATCTAAAGTATTCACATTATATTATCGATCTAAGGACCATTTTCCACGCCTTTAGATGTACTGGGCACATAGGGTTAGACCTATATTTTATAGACTCCGCGCCCGAAAAGTGATGTAGTCAACATCATACCAGTCGCGTTTACTTCCCAGGACTCTTACCTGGTACCCAATTAAGGTTGGGTCGACCTGGGAGCCACGGCCATTCTGAAAATTAGTTCAAGTTAGTCAGGATCTGCAAGCGAGCGTGTAGTCGCTACACCACGGCGGCTGCTAATATCGATCTATGAGTATAAATAATACTGATCTGGATGATTACTATTTTGTTTTGCAACAAAAATTCACTATACAGCAATCATTCGATGGCCAGTAGCCAGACACTTGCTTCGATTCCACATAGAGATATAATCGATTCCACATAGAGATATAATAGATCTAGGCTTCTATGTCGACTATATGGGTATCGAGAAATTTCCTGAAGTGTAAGGATAATCATTGGCATGTTGACTTTATCATCCGGTGAGTTTGAATTGCTATTTAAAAATATGGCTATGATCCGTTCCAGAAATCGTGCCCAATTTATAAAATCTGTAACTCAGTAATCGCTCGGTGTAAGTTGTTGAGATCTGACTTGCAATCTGTTATAATCATGTCCTTGTAAGATTTTTTTTTTAATGTCAACAGACATTTACTTTTAATTTTGCCTTATACGCCTATTTAAATAAAACGTTCGGCGTGCATACAATTAATAGAAAGGGGAACTTTTCAAAATATAAAATTGCACGACGTTTTATATAGTTTTTTTTCCCCCTTAGCTGATCATCTCCAGCATCAGCCTCCCGTAGTTTCATGAACACAATTTTTAATTGTATGCAGGATAGGCCATGGCCGGCTGTAGTCTACAACTACAACCAGCAAGGGATAGGTTGCCCAACAAACCCAAATATCGCAGCACAGGTGTACTGATTTCCAAGCGTGTGTCAATTATTGTACATTCTATTTTTTATTTCGAGGCTTACAAATTATTAACCAAGCAAAGGTCAAATAAATTCGCCGCTTCAAGAAAACAGCAGCACCTGTGCAGTTGTACATTATAAAATCATAAGAACATGGGAAATCTAACACCACATGCAAAATTCGAGTTGACCCTATAGGAGTTTTCAAGATATTTGTTGAAGTGTGACGGCACGACTTGTGAGACGCACTATAACATTATATGCCCCGTTTCCCTTTTGGATTCTATGACTCCATTTTGAAGAACAAACAATAGACCCACTGCTTCTCTTACAAGCATATCGTATAAGAGGACTATGGGTATTAGAAAGAAACCAGCAGAAAATTACCAAATAGGCATTAAATGGGAAATAAAGGGATTCAGGAGGCGAGGACGCCCATAAGAAACCCTAAGAGGAACGTTGATGAGAGAGACTAAAGCTGCTGGACTGGATTCCATCCATGATATTGAATTGATTGCACTGGATAGAGCGGAATAGAGGTATAGACTGCAAGCCCTATGTGACATATAACGGCACTACATGATAATGATTCAACAAGTGAATATATATATATATATATATATATATATATATATATATATATATATATATATATATATATATATATATATATATATATATATATATATCAGCTATGTATATGTATTTTTAATTTAAATATGACAGAGAAATTCTCTGAATACCACGGATCAGGAAAATAAAAAACATAGACATTATACACAAGTTAAACATCAAGGAGAACTGGCTCATAAACAGCATCCTGTCCGGAAAGTTTAAGTATATTGGCCATATAAATGTCATAGAAGATCAAAATCTGTACTTGAATTTAAAGATAACGAAAATAACGTCCAAAGATAAAACTGGCTGTCACCCAAAAAGAACAATAAATTATGAAGAAATTGAAAATGTCACAAACTTTGAATATCTAGGCTCTATAGTAAACAGCCATGGAGACTGTTCGACAGAAATTAAAAGGAGGATGGCAATATCAATACAAAGAATCGAAAATCAGTAAAAGTCTATGGTTAAGCACCAGCAAGGAAATAAAAATTACAATTTTGAGAGCATGCATCTTCCCTGTGGCTACATACGGATGTGAGTACTAAGACTATCTCTTAGTACTTAAGAAAGAGAATAGGGGCTTTTGAGCTGAAATGCCATATAAAGATTCTCAGAATATCTAGGACAAAGAAGAGGAGAAATATTGACATCTTAAAATATCTGAACATCAAGGAAGACTGGCTAATAAACAGCATCCTTTCTCTGAAGCTGAAATATTTTGGTCATATCAAGCGCCACGGCGGATTGGAAAAAAATATAGCATAAGGCATGGTACCAGGAAGGAGGGGCAGAGGCCGACCGACAAGAAGATGGGCACAGGATATAAGTGACTCCTTAAGTGTGAACGTGCATGAGGCGGGAGAACTGGCGAGTGACCGAGTTTTTTTCAGGCAGACTGATGAGAGCGACGTTCTGCAAAGGACCTGCTACATGATATATGTATATATATAGAATTAAAATTTTACAGAAAAATTATCTGAATACTATAGATGAAAAAATTAAGAACACCGACATTCTACACACTGGCTTATAAAAAGTATCCTGTCCCGAAAATTTAAGTATTTTGGCCACACCAAACCTCACGGTGCTTGGAAAAGACGGTGCAGTTTGTAGAAAGAGAGGCATAGGTCGACTGAGAAGATGGATACAAGAAACTGAAGATACATTGTCATTGAAAACGCATGGGGCTGGAGAGCTGACTAGGGAAAGGTATACTTTCAGGCGTGCCCTGGGGAGAGCGACGTTCTGTAAAGGACGTGCTGATTTATGATGATGCAATGTATATATACACGCTGTTTTTTAATACATATATTTAACAAATATGTATGTATGTATGTATGTATGTATGTATGTATGTATGTATGTATGTATGTATGTATGTATGTATGTATGTATGTATGCATGCATGCCTGCATGCCTGCATGCCTGCATGCCTGCCTGCCTGCCTGCCTGCCTGCCTGCCTGCCTGCCTGCCTGTCTGCCTGCCTGTCTGTCTGTCTGTCTGTCTGTCTGTCTGTCTGTCTGTCTGTCTGTCTGTCTGTCTGTATGTATGTATAAACACACACGTAGTTTTTTAATAAAAATAAAAGATATTTATGCCTACCCACTATATATTTTGTGAGAATAATTATCTTTAAACAAGGAATCTACTCCTAGATCCCAGACTAGAGACAACCGCCATGCAAACACGAATGTTATTTTGTTTGGCTGTCATCAGGCAAGTATCCCTGGCCACCGGTGACCTCCGGTTTGTCTGACGCCTGCTAGCTGCTGCTGCTGCAACCAAACTTCTACTTCAGTCTTTCGACAACTAAAACTACAACCATGCAAACTTTCCGCTCGTTCGTTGTTTCTCAGCCTGTACGAGAAATTCTGTCTCGACGATTCTTGCAGACTAGTAGCATTCTAAACATCAAGGTAAATCTACAGTAGTAAATAAAGTAGTACTAAACTAATAGTCACAACAAATGTTTAATTTTTACCGAGTATGGCTCTTGGAGTGGACAACTTTTAGCTTTTAGAGCTGTGTGTTGACTCACTAAATAACAAATTTCTGACTAAATTTCCGAGCAAAAAAGAGAAGAAACATAATTACTATAAGTCTGTAACACTATACAATGTTGTATTACTCACAGTGTTGCATTTTATGTGTGTTTCTTTCAGATACTTGATATTCAATGTGTGGTACTGACTGTACTTCAAACTTGACATCTTACACTTACAATCAATGACAGCAATGTACACAGTGTCGTCTCTGTGAATAACATCGAATATAGCACGCTTTACAGTGATAAAAAGTATAATACGGCGAGCAAACATTGCATTTTGTAATTTATGGCTCTATTATACAAGAAATCTTTGTCATTTAAAGTTGCAAAAATAATGTCATGTTTCATGGAGTCAGTAGAGTAGTTTTATACACTTAGATTAGTTGCTTCGACTATCCTCCGAATAACGGTCCTAAATTATCGAGGCGGAAAATATACCCTAACAGGGCCTCAGTCACGTGTCAATTGCGAACTTCGCTGAGAGTATCCCCCACGCGTGGATTGGGGCTAAACTAGATGGCTGGGGCTAAACTAGATGGCTGGAACTCATGAGCAGCAGCTACCGCATCTCCTGCAGCTTCCTTCATTTTATTTGCTCGTGAGTCCTAGCCATCTAGTTTAGCTCCAATCCACACCGCGTAAGCGGCGTGGGGGATACTCTTGGCGGTGGCGGAAGTTTGCAATTTGGCGGTGGTGTTATAGTCCCAGAAAGTGTGCAATTGACACGTTACTGAGGCCCTGTTAGGGTATATTTTCCACCTCGATAATTTAGGACAGTTATTCGGAGGATAGCCGTTGCTTCTATACTATAGTGTTTGTTTTAAAATCTTTAGACTCAAGTATTGAAGGCTTTGGCTCTACTGGCAAATCCGGACGAAGACTAAACAGCCTTGGACGACTTAGTCAGAGTTCTCTCCCGTGTGCGCACTCCAAACAGTGATCGGAAAACAAACGAAACAAACGACACACTTAGCTATCATACTGCGGTTGCGTGTAGGGCTGCGTACGGTTGCGTGAGGCATCGTGGCATCATCATATGGTTGCATGCAGGGTTGCGTACGGTTGCGTGAGGCATTGTGAATGGTTGTGTAGTCATCATCATGCGGTTGTTGAATTAGAGTTAGGGGTAGGGTTAGGGGTAGGGGTAGGGGTAGGGTTAGATGTGACAATTTTGACGTAGGATTTCGAAATACTGGCCGACAATCTGATGTTTGTGGGAGTGGCGCCACTGAAACTCTGCCAAATATGACGCCAATAGCGTGCGGCTGGTGCCCCCAATCGCTGGCGACTTGTGCGTTTGACCAGCATCCAGAGGCCCTCGATTGTTTGTGTGTGTGTATGGGACTGTGCGCGATTATAGGGAACTCCGGCGTCAAAATTGTCAAATCTAACGCTAAACCTAACCCTACCGCTAACCCTAATCCTACTCCCTAACCCTAACCCCTACCCCCTAACCACGCAAATTTATCGATCATTAAAGCATACAATTCGGCAAACACCAACAAACAAAACACACCCAAAAAAACACCCAGAATTGTCCTGCAGCGTCGAAAAAAAACCCCACATCTGGGGGAAACAACCAAGCATTGGCAGCCCTGATGTCGACGTGACTGTCGTCTTTGTTTCGTTATGGCTTTTCCGATCACTGTTTGGAGTGCGCACACGGAAGATAACTCTGACTAAGTCGTCCAAGGCTGTTTATTCTTCGTCCGGATTTGCCAGTAGAGCCAAGGCTTTTAACTCTTTACTACCAAGCAACTCACCATTCATCCATTTAGTCAAAATAAAATATACTATTTGACTCCTTTTTTTCTGCCCTGACCTGTTTCTTACGTTATCAGTCACAGCACATTAGTCATTCCCATGCACGCTCACTCTTCAGATACAGCAGCCACTCTAAAGATACCTCTACTGATTATTCTTATGAGAAGTTGGTTATAATATCTTCTGTCTTGGCCTAAAAAGTGGCTTAGATGCTTGCCTAGTCCGTACAGCATTGATGATCATCTTGTTTAAAAAAAAATCATTCTGTGTTTTTTGTAAGCATATCTGCTTCTGATCCTGTGTTGTTTTAAGTCATTCAGGAAAAACAGAACAGGGGACCCGAGGATTTTCTGAAATAATATGTGTTGGCCAAAAGACATATCACAGCCTAGTTATAAACCATAATACAACATGCCAGCCACCCTATTCAGGTCAGACACTGAAGAAGATGATGTCCTTGTTATTGGTGTGAAGTTGGAACTTCCTCTTCACTTCCTCTTGAACCACTTCAGTTATTAGGGTTCTTCTTCTGGCCGCTACAACCATAGACACATCATACTTATGTGGAGTTTCTCTGATGTTATCTTTCCATATTGTTCTTGGTCTGCCTCATGGTCTGCATCCCTGTCCTGTCTTTGTGTATGTCTTGAATGCCATGGTGTCACAAGGCGTTTTCATTAGGTGAGAAAACTATTTGATGTGCTGTCTTTGTATGTAATTCAGAATGTAATCTTTGCTGACTTTTTTTCTCTCCATAGTTGATCTCTTCTGGTCCTTCCTGCAGCCCTTCTCAGACATCTCATGTCTGTGATTAATGATTTTATTTTCTGGTTTGTTGTGAGTGACCATGTCTGGTACAGCTGACATAGAGTGGAAATAAAGATGCTGTTTAAAAAAAAAGTTTCAAGTTTTTTTTTTTTTAAATATCCTAAAAACATAGGTTGTTAACCCTTTGGCTGAGTCCTGTGAATATTGCAGCCCTTCGGCCTTGATTCCGTGGTAGAAATGTGGCTTTTCTGCCTACCCCTGGGTGTGAACCCGGACCACAAGGAGTTCATCACCCGCTCGCCATGCAGTGGGTTTTAGCCAACTGCGTTAACGAGCCAGGTCTTAGTTGGAATATCTTATTCGTTTTTTTTTCAGGAAAAATGTATTTGTAGCAAGAAGTTGGGCTAACATATTTACTCCTTTACTCTGTGTATTCACCATACATTCCGGTTATGAATTCTTGAGCACATTGGGAGGGGGTGGAGATGGAAGCAAAAACTAGACCACTGTCTCTGAACAAAGAAGTTAATTGTCAATCCTTTACAGGGTGTGGCGAAACGAACCCCAACATTTTTTGGCTGTTGTGGTTTTTTTTAAAGGCAAATTTATGTTCAGTGGTTTGCCATTGCTTTCTAATAGTAGACTCTCGGTACAACTTTCAAAATAATGAAAGGCGGTCTGCTGCTAAATGGCCTGCAGCTGGGTTGAACGCGTTTACAATGCCTAAGCAACAGACGCTGACCCTCTTAACAATCATACCGTAAAAAGTAACTAAAGATTTACTGAAATTGGATGTGTTGGGTCAAAAGGCACAGATATCACAGCCTAGCTGTAAACCACAGCACTACAGGTGAACATTTCTTTTAAGGGAAAGTACAGAAAAAAAAGACTGCATTTTAAGCAAGGCTGCCTTGTTTGTAAATTTCAAAAAATGTGTTTGTGTATTTTTCCTGGCAGGTTGGTGACAGGATTCCCTCTGTTGACCTGTTTGAAGGTGCACCCGATAAGAAGGTCAACACAAGTGAGTTCAGCAAAGGCAAAGTGGTTATTTTTGGGGTGCCTGGTGCGTTTACTCCTACATGTTCAAATGTGAGTATTTTTAACACACGGGTAATCTTGGTCCTATACAGCAGCAGCGTGTCTCATGTTTCGTGTCTCGTTCAGACTTAACATTCCTAAGAATGCATTACGTAGCCGCTTACATTATCACTTCCCTGGGGGCGGAAGGGGTTGGGGGTCAAAGCATCACCAACTGCAGCAGACATTAAGAAGATTTTCGGCAGTGTGGGCATTAAAATCTGAAAGTGAGAAAATCAGCAAGATCATCGGTGAACTCAAGGGAAAGAATCTTGAAGAACCGATGGCTGAAGGCTCCAAGAAGTTGCCCTCTGTCCCATCAGGTGGGGGGTGTAGCATCTAGTGCTGCCCTGGCAGACAAAGCGGCAGCTCCTGCTCCTGCAGGCAAGAAAAAAGAAGAAGAAGAACACATGGGTAATGGAGTAACTGGTGAAACTAATTTTGTACATGAATATTATAACTGAAAGTATCTCTTCTTTCTTCTTCATGAATTAAGGAAGTCACTGACAATCAAAAATTTACAGCATCACTGAGTACCAAGCAGCTTAGAGTTTTCTGGTCAGCTACTGATCTTTTATCAACCTTTTCACCCCTGGAACACTAAACAAAAAATTTTAAAGTCACGACCCTAGAAAAAACCCAACAGTCTTACAGAGGCTGCTAATTGACTCATTACATATTTATCTATCATCTATCAACCCTTTTAAATTTCTTTCCAAATATGATAAGATTTTTGGAGGAGGTTGTCAGTAAACACTAACATGGTGAAGCATAACCTGGAGTACATTCCCAGGAGCCTTAAGAGCATAAGTATAGGGGACTTATGCTTTGACCCTGTGACCTCCATCACTGAGATTTATGGGGAAATTTGACATTGGCTTGGCTTTAATAAAACGATTTGATTTGAAGGAAAACACCCTTAAATGCTGTTTCAGTTAAAGGATTCATATCCTGACCTTCTGAATGTTTTCATGGCCGCAAAAACAGCCAAAAGCACTAATTATGCATCTCGTAAATATATCACTATAGACAAGTTGGACAAGTGACATTCACAAGAATTGAACCTACGGGAAGTGTGGGTTTTTGCAGCTACTCGGAGAAAGAGAGTTACTCTGAAACAAAGCAGGTACTGACAAAAGAAAGAGACAGAAGAACAACGAAAAAAAACCCCATTTATTTTAACCCTATAACTATCTTAGTTTGCTTATTTTACTGTATAACTGTTTCAAATCTCTTCTTTTATCATCATCTCTTGCCAGGACCATGTTCCCACCTTCCTGAAGACAGCTGATGAAATCAAGAAGAAGGGTGTCAGCAGCATCGTGTGTGTGGCAGTTAACGACCCATTTGTAATGTCAGCTTGGGGGAAATCCCTGGATCCTTCTGCAAAGGTACCAATAATTAAGCTGTCATTCTTTATTTTTGCCACATATTTATAAAACTAGTGCATTAGTTGTTTAATATGTAATATGTTTACTAAATAACGAGTTTAATGACAATAAAATAAGTAATAAAATAAACAAAACACACATATTTGCTTTAAAACATGCACATACTTGGTAATGCTTTTAGTGGTAAGCACTGAATGAGTAGATCTGTTGGTTGCTCTAGCTTTGGAACACTCTTGATGAACAGAGGATATGTTTTAAAACCTTCAGCACTTACATTTTGCATCACTTGTAAAGGAAAATGGGGCACCTGTGAGCTCACCAAGAGTACACTCTGCTGTCTTCATTTACATATTCATTTTTACCTTTTCATCTTTTGCCTGCTTTTCTAATGGAGTAAAAGCTCTCAAGCAGCTTATATCAACTCCTTTATTTTGTTCCTGATTGTCTTGATTTCTGCAGGAAGAGGATCTAACTTGTGTGTCAACCTTTGTTAGTCACCTCTTACAATATGCACTTTGAGTTTTGATATTACTGTTCTTTGGTGTGACCAAGTAACATAACAGGCGTTTTCCATCTTAGACAGATAAATCATCTTGTTGCTCAATACAGTATTAGGGTTTGGGTCTTATTTCTTACTTGTATTTTTATGTAAAAAAAAGTTTGTAATAATTTCAAATACAGAAATTAACATTATTATTTTTGTAAGTTAAAAAGGCATTTAGTGCCAAGTTTATAGTTTTTAGAGACCAGTCAACCACCTTTACTTTCCAGGATGTTACCTGGTACTCTAGGCTGTTGACCTCGGAGCTAAGGTAAATTTAAAAATGAAATTCTGCCAGATATTAACTTATTTACTGGCTGTAAACTGCGGCAGAAAGTTCTGGTTGTTTGTCCCCTCTGGACTTGAGTCTTGTTCCTGAACCGGAGTGTTGTGTGCACATCCCTTTTACAGATCTGTCTTATTTGTTAGCAGACTGTTAGTTCCTTGCGTCTCAGCAGATTCACTATAACCCGGGTTGGTGGACTCTTATGACACGCTTGTTATGGAGGCAGCAGATCTGTTCTTGTTTTCCCTCGTGAGGCTACAGAACCCACACAAGGAACAGGTCTGATTGTTTATATGCAGACTATTGGGTCAGACAGATGTGATCCGCCTCTCAGGCTGATGTGTTCCGACTTAGAGGAAAAGCCCTGATTAGTCGCCTCTTACGACTTGATATGGAGCCACTGTGTCTATTCTTTTAATTTCCAAATGGTGCTCAATAACCCACGCAGAGGTTAGCTAGTTAATAATTTGAGAACTGAAGTTAACTTTTGGATTAAATAAGACGTGACATGAGCTTAAAAGTAAGTTAATCAACATTTGTCTTCCCTAGATTCGTTTTCTGGCAGATACCACTGGAGCATTTGCTAAGGTTAGTGAAAAACTTCTTATATATATAAATATATATATCAAAGTTGTGCACATGGTATTCTATAATTCTTCTTTTTTCTTTTTTTCACATGGAGGCATCAAATGAAAACTTTAAAAGTGAGATATAAATTACAGTTAACATGCTAATGTCCTATAATATGTCAGTATTGTTGTTAAGAATGTCACGACTGTTAAGCACATGATATCAGATGCAGATGGACATGGTGATGTCATAATGACAGTTTAAAGATGATCTGCCCAGATTTGACATGTGCCAAAGAGGAGCAGAGCTCTTTGGTCCATTTTTTAAATCAGTGAAGGGATGAAACTTACAGAAATTCACCAGCGAATGAAGATCTAGTACGATGATGCATGTCTGTCACTTCAGCAAACGTATGAGTGGAGTAGCAAGTTTCATAATGGCTTGACTTCTGTGACAGACTACTCACGACTGGGTAAGCACACTGAGTAGTGACCCCAGAGTCAGTTGAAGGCCTTATACAGTTTGTCTGTGTCATGATGTCACGTGCTTAACACTCTTGACATCACTGACAACAGTATTTACAGGCTATATGATTGTGGGTTATATATTTTAGTTGCCATCACAATTTTAAGGTGTTTATTTTTAAGCCCCCTCATATTTGTGTCTGGGAAGCTTTGTACTTGACAATACACATTAAAAAATACTAATTCACTCTAATAATTTTCTTTCTGACACGCATGTAAACAGTGCAGTGTGTGGTACATTTTGTGAAAATGACAGAAGACACAAAAGTTCATCAATAAAAAATGGGCAGGATCAGTTTATTTCACACCTGTGGAGCTAATCATCATTATCAGGTGCATTGCCTGCTGGTGTGGGCGATCATGTCTTTCCACAACCAGCAATCCGCAACTGCATGTATCACGTATGTTGACACCCCTTCCGTGCCATGACAAAAAGCTGTCAAGGATCTTCGTGCGCTGTCTTCCTAAGTTTCCCTTTCCACAGATCTTTCCAGTGGTCATAACATATTCAAGTTTCCCCTCTTCTCATAACATGACCAAAAAATGTTTGTGATAAATTGTCTTTGAGCATTCGCCTCTTTCAAAACATCTGGGTTGCTCTTCTTAGCTGTCCAAGGAATTCTAAAGATTCTTTTGTAAAACCAGATCTAGAAGGCCTCAAGGTATTGTTCGGCTTGTTTAATAATTGTCCAGGATTCACAGCCGTATGTTGAAACTGGTTGTATAAAGCATGAGAGAATTCTTTTCCTAAACTCCAGTGACATGGATTGATTGCACAAAATGTTCTTCATTTTATAAAAGACAGTTTTGGTCTATCCTATTTAGTTCTTTTTATATCTTCCATCGGATGTTATCCATGTGCTCAGATACTTACATTTGTACTTGTACTTGACCTTTATTGTACATTTAGAGACTATTCTTCTCTTGCAAAATCACCATTACTTCTATCTTCCCATTATTAACTCTTTGAGTCCCAGGGGGTTTATCATCACAGGCCCAGGGGGTTTATCATCACAGGCCCAGGGGGTTTATCATCACAGGCCCAGGGGGTTTATCATCACAGGCCCAGGGGGTAGTAAAGAAAGTCATAAAATCGGCGCATCATGCGTTCATTTGGCTTCTAAGTAGAAACCTATGAACATTTGATGCGTTCCTTGGGACTCAGAGTTAAAAGTGAGGCCCATTTTATCACTTTCTACCACGACTGTATCTATCCATTCCTGTAGTTCTCTGTAACTTGTTGCTGTCAAGACCGTGTCATCAGCATAACGCAGGTTGTTTATGTTATGATCACCAGCCTCAATTCCTGGCATATCCATGATAGATCTGATTATATTTTTACTGTATAATGAAAAAAATCAGATGATAGTAGACATTCTTCTTTAGCTATTGAGGATATCAAAACAGCTACGGGTGCGTCCAGAATACTGTGGTGTCCTCACTAATTATTTTCTCACACGTAACCACATGCATCTGTTCACTTTTCTCTGTCTGTCCCTCTCCCACAACCTTGCATGCTTACATGCTTGTGCACGCAGACACACACATACAGTTTACTCTGTAATTATTTATGACCCTGTCTATGTACCATATATATGCATGTGCTATGACACACAGTTTTCTCTCTGCCTCATTTCCTCTTTGACAATATTATATTTAGATATTTTGACTAGTGATATCTTCACTTAGCTTCCTATTTTCTGTGACCAGGCACTTGATTTGACTCTAGACCTGACAGCAGTTCTAGGAAATGTTCGCAACAAACGGTAAGTGATGGAACACATTATAAAACTGTTTGTACCTAGTTCCTCGCATGTAGGCTCCGAGGTCCCGTTGTGGGGAAAACAAAAATAGGCCCACTGCCTTCCCAACAAACATGTTCTAGGAGTCGACTAATTTTGGGCTTCCTTCGAGGTCGGAGGGCCTCTGCCTGCAAGGCTAGGAATCATCAGGCTGCATAGAAATAAATTAGATCTGTAAAACGGGTATGCACGCAGCACTCAGATTCTGAAACAAGATTAAATTCCAGAGTGGATGAACAACCAGAACTTTCTGCAGGAGTTTACAAGACTATGTGACACATTATTTTATGACAGAGTAAGAAATACTATACGTCAGGTGTGGAAAAGAGTCCTTTAATTACTTTTACTTACTTTAAAACAATATTCAGTTTCACATTTGTTAAGTTTGAAATTGGGTGTCGTCTTATATATAGAATATAGTTAAATATAGGTATTTCTTAATTTTAATCTTTAAAAAAAATAAGGATTGTCCCTAAACACGGAAGCATTGTACACAGAAAAATATGGTATTTTCAGTATACGTATTGTGTGTATATGGGGCATATCACATTGTTAATACAATTGCATAATTTGTTTAGCATATTGTCACACTGCACATAGAATCTTGTGGGTGGGTGGGTGGGTGGGGGGGGGGGGGGAAACAGAACAGACCCACTTTTCCCAGAACCAGATAAAGGGCATCCAATTAGAAGTTTGTTGAAATCACATGCGTTGGACCCAAGAGTGCAGATATCGCAACCAAGCTGCAAACCACAGTGGAACAACCTACTTTTTAAAGAAAAAAAAAGATTCATGTTATTTTATAGGCACATGGTAGCGAGTGTGTTGAGGATATTGTTTTTTATTTCTTTAAATGTGTTGGATTTATCAGCACCTAAAAAAGCCTAGACGAGAAGTATAACTAGTCATCAGCTCAGTAAAACACAGTAATGACAGATAAAAATTAACATTGCAGCCAGAAAGCCTTTATCAGCTTACACACACACACAAAAAGACAGTGATCAGTTACCTGATTGACTACATATCTTCTGCTTTCATTCTTAGAAGTGTAGTTGGCATGCTGTGTATAGATTTACAGCAAGGCTGTGATATCTGTGCCTTTAGGTCCAACACATCTGATTTGAGTAAACCCCTCATTATTCACTCTTGATGTTATTTATAAAGGGGAGGGTCCAACCCTCATCCCAAATGGTACCCTGGAATGCCCACAGGGACAAGACTAGATTGTTACAGCTTTTTATAATAATTTAACTTCTTGTAAAAATTAGTTCAAGCATGAAATTATAGTTATCATTGTGTTTGTCTTTCTGTTGCCAGCTTTGCTTTGGTCGCAGAGAATGGTGTCGTCAAGGGCATCAATGTTGAACCAGATGGTGCGGGCCTCAGCTGCAGCCGGGGCACCGACATCCTCAAGCTGTTGTAGAGAAGCCTCATATGTTGATGTAGATGCAAGGCTGCCTTTGTACTTTGCCTCGGATATTTAACAACAGTGGCTGCTGTCACCACTTCTTTGTCATTATTTAAAAAAAACTTTAGTGCTTTGTTTGTTTCTCTAAAGATAGTTGATATTAGTCGTGTATTTTGTTTCTTTCTCTAGTCTGGAGATTTGGACTGCTGCACGGTAGCTCTCATCAAGGCTACCAGCCTCCAGATAAAAGTTTTCTGACGAAATGATCGAAGAAGAAGATTCTTTAATAACTTGTCTTTCAGGGAGGTATTCTTAAAGAGTAATGGTTTAGGATTAGTCAGTAACAATTCTCTGTGATAGCAGATGATCTTCACTTCAAAGTGCAAAATGTTGTGAATTTTTGCAGATTTTATAGTAATAAAATACAATAAAATTGTCTGAAAGAATTTTGAGATATGTTGAAAAGGTACACACGGTTCATTGTATGGTTACAGTGTGCACAGTTTCCCCGTCACAATTTATGTTAAGAAACTAGAAAGGTACAATGTTTAAGATCAGATTGTCTGTTATGGGTTATCTATAATCATTGGCACCTTTCCGTCTTTCCAGACGATAGTGTTATTTTGCGCTATGAGGAGGCATGGGACTCACAGCCCATGGCGATGGCGAGTATGACTAGCAAGACCCTCCCGTGTCAAGAAAAGTCTTCCACAATGATAGCATGGGATTTCAGGACCATTGTGTGTTTATAAAGGTGTTATCTATATATAAAGGTGCTAGCAAAACTAGCTAGTTGTAATATTCACTGTTTGTGAATTTTGAAACTTGTATATATGTTGGTATATTGCAGGACCAAAAGTGTTCTCACTCTTGTTGCTAGTTTAATGTATATTTTAGAGCAGATTACTTTTAGGAGGAGACCTTAATACTCATCTATGTTTGTTTGTACTGTTCCTTGCTTGGATCTGACTTTGCTTTGAGAGAGGGCCTTTGGCTAACATTTTGCAGAAGTTCTGACATGACAAGATCACAGCAAGATTTGTGTCGATTCTTGTGAAATGTTCCATGCTCCGATCTGACCTTACTTTCAGTGGATAGTTTGGCTATCTGATCTGACCTTACTTTCAGTGGATAGTTTGGCTATCCGATCTGACCTTACTTTCAGTGGATAGTTTGGCTATCCGATCTGACCTTACTTTCAGTGGATAGTTTGGCTAATTTACAAGAGAACATTGACTGAATTCACCTGAAGAATTTATAAGCGATGTCTGTACCTGTATTGTCCGTGTCATCTGCTGATGAAGACTTTCTAGCTGTAACCCGTGTTTATTGTTCGTCATTGTGTTAATATGAAGCTAAGTTCTACTTTTAGTTTGGACTGATATCTTTCCATGGTATGTTTTCTTGTGTTACAATTATTGTACTGATTTACTTGTCTTCCAAAGTATTTCATAATGTTAAATTGCAGTTTAAAAAGGATATCATTATTCAGAAGTCATCAAATAAGAAGGGACTGAGATGCTGAAACCTGCACTTATTCCGAGAGGGGAGGTAACCAGGTGGAACTTGCTGGGCTGTAGATTTACCAGCAGGAGATAATAATATCTTTTCTTCCAGACCAGTTAAGCTGGCCACTTGAGGGCTAGTGATGCAACAGCTAAACACTTTATACCCTGTCTAGTTTTATTGTTACTGGGAACATGTTGTACATTGTTGCTGTTACTTTTGAATTGCTCATGTTATACTAATGCACTGATGTTCATTTTCTATCAGTGATGGCCAGCCATGTTGTTTTTTTTGTTGTAATTTCAGAAATCACGGACATTTCATTTTATAATCAGCCCTTGAGAGGGGGTCAAACAAGCTTGGTACACAACTTTAGGGTTGACAAATAAATTATGGGTAATGCGTTGATGGGCTCTATATGTTTCATCAGTTTTTAACCTGTTTCTCATATCTGTTGTAACCAAGAATCTCCAGCAAGTGTGTGCATGTTGATCTTCACTGATGTGATTAACTACTACACAGAATCCTGTCAGCACAGGTGTTCAACATGGTGTGTGCATGTCTTCAGCTAGACTTCTGTCAGATCTATAAAATCTTTAATTTAAACTATTTCATAATATGCACCTTTAAACAATCTCAGTGCACATTTGAAATCTGAATTTAATTACTTTAGACTGCACTTGTAAATATAAACTTTTCAAGAATGTGCATCTGAGAAATCTAAATTTAAACTAAATTATGTATTTGGTGCTGTGTCATTTGAGAATTCAATGAGAAATAAATTCATGTGTATTGATTGGCACTCACAGAAGTAGAGGACAGAAATTAGAGATGAACATTTATACTCCACTGGATACCATCTACCTGTGACAGAGTAACTCACTGTCTAATATCATCTGCTGTGTACATCTTTCCTTCACTTATGTGAATTGGCTCATGGTCTGCAGCTGCCCTTCTGTTGAGTGGTGATCAGCATTCTGTGGCTGTTCTGGACTTGCTAGTGCGAGGAGATGGTGGTGGCATCAGCTATGATTACCTTGCTGAGTGAAGCATGGCAAAACACGACAGGGTTGTCTTTTAGATCAAGAATGGAGCCATTGTAAGCAACTTCTCATGGTAACAGTCAGTAGTTATCTTGAGGTGGATGCTGCAATTGAGGACTGAGCATGATGCATGGGGTAGCCTAGTGTGCAGTAATGTCGATTTTGATTAGATAAAGTGATGTGAATGCCATTCAGTACTTATGAATTCATTTCTCCGGGAAGATATTAACTCAGTAAAATTGGATGTGTTGGCCGAAAGGTACACATGTAGCAGCTAGGCTGCAAACAAGCACAACACAATTTTGTCACTTAAACAAATGAATACAACAAAAATTAATCTCTTGTTATTTCAAGGCTGCAAGTTTGACTCCACCAGCTGAGGTTTCTAATCAGATTTCTTTGTATTCAAAACATGCACATACTGTAAGTTCCACAGCTACCCACAGAAGTATTGTTCTTATTGACACTGAATAAATGTGATCTGCATTTTGTTAGTTTGTTTCTTTTGTTTTGGGGCAGTTATTTTTATAAGCTTTTTCTCATTTTGCTGGGATATCTGATGCAATTTTTTCTATTTGATTTTAAAGAGCAAATTTTTCTATTTGATTTTATAGAGCAAATTTTTCTATTTGATTTTATAGAGCAAATTTTTCTATTTGATTTTATAGAGCAATCAGCACAGAATGGGTAATGTGGTCAACACCCTGCTGGCCACCTTCACTTACCAGGACTTAAACAATTTTTTTTTTTACCTGGTATCTGTTTGAGACTGCATCAACCTGGGAGCCAATCTCAATTTTTCAGATATAGATCTGACTTAATGCAGATTTAAACCCTTTGGCCTTCAGACTGATAAGTGGGCATTTGGATGTTACTCTCCTGTAGCTCACTTTAGAGCAGGGATATTCAGCTAATTCAGGGGCATACTGAACAATCAGATCCTCACAGGAAAACCCCATCATGGAAATAATTCAATTGGCAAATGATCCGCAGATGACTTGCCAGGAGGCCAGCACTTTCCAGATTTGGTCCACGGGCTACGTGTTGACCAGCCCTGCTTAAGAGGCTCGTACTTAAGAAGCAACCTCATTATGCGGAAAATAGAGTAGTAGATTACGGAACACAAGGAAGGCCAAAGAGGAGACGGATCAATGACACAAGCCAGTGCGAGTTTTCAGCTCTTCAAGTAGCGACCCCCACCCCGCAATCAAATATGTCAGGACTCTCAATACGAAACTCATACTCTGTTGTGTTTGAGATCTTTTTTAATGTAGGATTTTACAAGCTAATAGTAATCTGTCGAAATACCAGTTTGTTGTGACCTTCACATAACAAGAGAAGCTGCGGGGGACCGGCGGCGACCTTATTTGTGACCCAGACAGGACTGAATGTTAATAAAGCATGGCGGATGTTAAACCAGAAGTTAGAAACATGCCAGCATTGCCTTTAGAAACAGTTTGCCAAGCAAGGCAGAGCAGGAACGTTGAGACAAAATGTGTTACCTATGCAAAGATTCACTCTGTGGCTAAGTCGATACGAACGCTTCGTAATGCCGGGTTTGATCCCAGCTGCGGGCCATGCGCCTTGCGTTGGTTTCGACAGTGGTATCAGGGAGCCGACCATCCAGATGGCAATGACAAACTACTAGATGTAAATTTGCCTAGAGAAACCACACAACAGCCAGGGTATGCTGGGGTTGGTTCTGTGACGTCCTGTAAAGGA